AACTGTCGACGCATTCCTGGTTCGGGTTTTTTTAACTACATGATTAACAATAATTGATTATGTTTAATTCTATAATTATCTTTATTTATTTTTTCCAACATTATCTTCTCTCGCTTGTATACCCTTTGACTTACGCAGTCACATTACGTACTGATCAAGATATTTCAGTGTGTGAAAGACAAGTACCACATAAATTGATAAATGAAATTTCAATAACAGAAATACAGGAAAAAAATAAGATAATAAATACACTAGAAAAAAACAAATAAACTGCAACATAAACTGTCACACTCTAGAGTAAGTTTTTATGTGGCTTGAATAATTTATTGAGAACTTTCCAATAAAATATTGCATCCGTTGATAATTGACAATTAAACCAAGAAATATCGAATGGTTGAAATATAATGTATGTATTGAATAGTTCATTTCTGTGATTTGTTTGGTTTAAAATCCTATCTTGCAGATAAATAAAATATAATCAAATTTACAAAAATTAATTATTTTCGATTTCTAAACATTAAACCCTTGACACCTAAAAAAACTAGCCTAACATAAGAGTAAAAGGGTCAATTCTATATTAAAATTTTATTAGATCATATAATTTGTTTAATAGATTGATAGTTTCAATAACATTGATTGGACATGTGTGCAGCTACAAAAATCAGGCAAACCAAATGATGTGCGTGGGGAGACAAAGTCCAAATCGTGGTCTATACGTACACAAATATACACATAACGCCTTCACTAGACAATAAATAAGTTAATTATGAACATTTAAAAATGCCGATGACCAAAACATTCGATATGGGCAACTATCATTGAGAGTTTTTTTTTTTGTTTCGGAATAAAAATATTATACAAAAAGCAGCCGTACATTGTTAATGGTGTTTTTATTTTATTTTATTTTTAAGGAGGTGAGTTCCATGAAATGGAAGCAGCCCTTTGGGTCCAGTCATCGTTGATATCGGTGAAATAGACATTGCAAGTGCTCTCGTGATTGTGCACTCCTTCATATGTGGTTATTACAACATCCGAGTCTTCGTTGTCCCTTTCTATCCTCTTCTTCACCGGACAACCTCCACTCGAACACTTGTAGTAATTCCTATATATATATATATATCACATATTTATATGCACATGTCATATATATAGATATGAAAATGATATCACTTGATGCATGATATGATGGCTTTATTGTGTATGTGTGTGTGTATATATTGATAGATGGCCAAATTGTTTCTTTTATAATGTATATGGGTCAAATGAAATCTCTATAGCATATGGTCGGCTTTGCATGCCCAGAGAGAGGAGGATGAAATAAAAGGTACAGCATATTTAATATTATATGTCTCATCAATGATGATGATGATGATCCAACTGCTTTTTTTTTCTTTTCCAAGATTCGTCTTTCAGATTCATCAAGATAATCATGCTCTAGTTATTCCTCGTGCTTCTTTTTAGTTTGAACGAAATCATTATGCATATACATATATACACATGCATATATACACACATACATGCGCATGACATGAAGTTCAATCACTCTGCAACGGATATCTCCAAGTGGGTTGGTAGGAAATATAATAATCATGCATTGCATAATATTGAAATCACTGGATCTACTTAGTGGCTGTAATATATAGTATGATTACTAGATGCATGATTCAATAGAATTATCATCATGAGCACATGATGCTATTATAGAAAAAAAGTTAACAAATTGGTTATCTTAGCACTCGTTAATCATTAACTAATCTCTTAAAACAAAACCCATAAGAAAAAAAAAATCAAATCAATATATAGATTAAATTACCTCTTGTTAGAGTTGTTTTTGACCGATTTCTTGCCGTATTTCCTCCATTTGTATCCATCGTCCATCACATCAATCTTGGATCTCGTCCTGAATGCAACTCTATGGACCGCCTCCTTTTTACTCGTCGTCTCACCTTCTTTACACTTCCTGTTAATCAAACAAGAAAAAAAAATCAAATTTAACTAGTTTTTTTTAATAACCTAAGCTATACTTTGTGCATATATATATATAGATCGGCTATATGCTTACGTGGCTTTCTTTTTACTCGATGTTGCGCCGCCGGATCCGCCGGTCTCGCCGGCAAATGTCTCCGACGACACCATACTTGTCGGAGACGAACTCTTCTCGTCCATCAATCCGCAGTCATCGAACATCAAGTAAGAAAAATCGAAATTATCCATCAACGGATCGAAGTTCTGATCCATTAAATTAGGGTTAGGGTTTTGAGGACCCTCCATTTACGCCCGAAAAAGGAGTTTTATTGAGAGGGATTTGGGGAGTGGAGAGGGGAAGAAAGGGAGATAAAGGCTCTATTGTTTATATACACAGACTAATTCCATAATTTATTTACAAGCTCAATTGTTTATAAACAAAAAAATAAAGAGATAATATTATTAATTTTACTACTCACTTGCAATTTCTAGGTAGATACTAGGAAGCTGCCTCATGCCACGTGTCACGAACGGTGACGTCATGTTTCTGACGTAAGCACAAACGATATAATTGTCCCTTTATTATTATTTCAACGCTTAGCTTTGTGAGGCAACTTTTGGAGTAAACAAGTCATTAATTGATTGCTGAGCCTTGACGGACCGTCATGGAGCCATTATCCTCTGCGTCAATGTTTAGCGTACGATGATAAACGTACGGCTGAGATGACCAGTTGATGGGACCGTACATTTAATCTAACGGTTAAAGATTTAGAAGATGTATGTTGCCTCGGTGCGGTGGACGCAGAGGCCGTTCTTTGACAAAAACTCGAAAAGTAATTATCCTCTTTTTTCTTATACGAAACCAATCATATATTTAATGGCAACAAATAATCATATATATATACTGTATTGCATTTGAAAAGGTAATCAATTGAATATATATATATATATATATATGAATTTAAGTTTGATATTTTATAATAAATTTGTATATATATACATATAATTTTAAGTTTGAACTTTTATTTTATCGTATCTTAACGAGTAAATCACCGGGCCCTAATTATAGCAGCCATGGGTATTTGTTGTTGTTTTTTTAATCTATACTTGCAAGAAGGTTTTGATACCTTCGACGCCTTTGTGAGTTGACTCGTTGACAAGTCGTCTAGTGAGCAGATCATTCATTTTTTTAATAATTATTTTTTCGGCGTTTGGTATTTGTCAATCATGCAGTTATTTCTAATTTGAATGGATCCAATAACCAATATGAAAGATTCAAAGATATAAATTATTATCCTAATGGTCCGTCGTTGCTGCTACTTTTTTAATGAGTTTGGCTGGTTATTAGTTTTGTGCATTCCATGATAATGTATGTATAGTTACATTACAGAAATCACACGCACACATATATACATATATATATTGTGTTTATATGCGTGTGTGTGTGTTAATCATAATGGTCCATGATTAATTTTTTTCGTACATACGTATTGTGTATGTATACGGGAAATCTCTTTAACGTGGCCGTACACGTGCGGGATAAGGATTGTCGTTGAATATCCATGGGGGAAAGATACGTACGGTCTCCCCTTGAGTCAACTGTCTCCTTCTTGAAAGGTCGGACGAAGCTTCATCGTGCCTTTCTAATTTATTCGCTTTCTATTATTATTATTATTTTGATAACGATTCGCTTTCTATTATTAATAATTCGTAAAAATAATGTAACATTGCATAAAAATATTACGAAGCCATAATACAATCAAATGTGTCGGAAATCATATCGAATGGTTCACGGTTAGTACGTAATTGTTTTCTGTGTTGGACTCGATATCATTTCTATCTTTTTTTTTTTTTGAAAATCTATCCATTATATGATTCTAAAAATTAAATATATAATTTACAAAAAAAAAAAAGAATATATAACCGTTGATGTTAATAGCTAATCAATAAGGCAATCACGTGTTCATAGGTTACTTAACATATATATGTGGGGTTAAACTGAAACAAAGTTATAAACATGTCGGTGGTTTTGTGATATATGTACCTTCAAAAATAACATGACAAAAAAGTAAATTAAATTGTGCATAAAAAATCTAAAAACCTAATAACTGTAACAATTAATGTAACATCCTGAGAAACCTGAGGGAATTCCTTTCTGTCGTTGTACTAAAAACTCTCCTACATACGTATAAGATCAATAAATTTGATGTTTCGTGTTGCTGGAAAAAAGTCCGTGTGTATATATGATTATATACACACACACAAAATAGAAAACATAATTCTGATTTGGAAAGCTCCGATGAGTGTCCCTCCATTTATAATTTTGACTTCAAAACATATCATTCTCAGATGGTGATCCTGTGATCACAGTGGCCAAAATTACAATTTGATCACATGTTGATTATATTGGTCATACCATTAAATTTATGGTGATTACACTATATTCATTCCTTATATATCTCATTAATCATTTGATAAAAAATTTAAAATTTAACGTTATGATTATTATGACCGACATGTGACCAAATTGCAATTCTGATCACAATGGTCACAATTGGGAAATAGTATGAATTGAAATCAAAATAGGAAAGTAAATGTATTTTTGATATAATACCCTTCAAATTATTATATATTTTTAAACTTTGATTTCATTTTAAGTGCAATTAATTCTCAAAATCACACATGTATGTTTCAAAAAAAAAAAAAGAAATACACGTATATTGAAAGAACAAAAACTCCTTCAATTGTGAACCCTAAAAGATCAAAACTTGGATTTTTCCTTTAGGAGGTGAAGTATTTCACATGGATACAAAAAGAGACGAGGAATAAGATCTTTGAACACAATGGGAATAAAAAAAGAAAAAGAAAGTAAACTCATCATACTCGTGAAGAAACCAAATATATATGGCGTCTCTCTCTCTACCGGTTGTGCAATGGGTTCGGACCGGAGGGAACTCTTCGCTTCTCGTCAACGAACGGTCCCAAAGCTTCGAATTCGGTCTTTGTCCGAAAGGCGGGCGAGCCGTAGAGATTGCTGAACATCTTGGGTACAGTCGACGGCTTGTGATCGTTCTCTTGATCTCTCGTGAATCTCCCATCGATCCAACTCGAACGTGCAACGATCACAGTTATGAACATGACGAATACGATTCTAACAATTCGTCTCATTGCAAAGTTCGAACAGGTAAATGAAGAAAAAAGAGATTCAAAGATCGTTGACTCTCTCTCTCTCTCTCTCTTCTCGGGGGCGAAGGAATAATGAGGAGAAATAGAACGGAAAGAGAAGGATATCTGCGACATTGCATTAAATAAAGTTAACATTATTTCATCCAAATAAATTAAATATCAAAATCGCATTAAATCCGAATGTGTTGGTGAGATAAAGATTATAATCTTGTATTTCGGATGATATCTCATTGGTCATCCTTTATGTACTAATGTTATATACATAAATGTTATATATATCACGAAATTAGGAGAACTCGTTGATTACGGATAAAAATAAATTAAAAATTTTAATTAAAAGCATGTAAAAACCAATTTGCTGTTCAAGCCAATTCAATAGAAGTGAAATTAAGACGAGTGAGATAAAAGAGCATTATTCTGCGTTTTTTTAAGACTGGCATTTAAAACTCTCACCGAACCCTATTTAATGCCGATGCCATTATTTCCATTAGTTGGCACACAAAACGTGCATTAAAGAAGCTTACTTTTCTATTTCAAAATTCAAATCCATTATCGCCTCTTTATTGCGTGTATAGAATCTATATACCGTGAATTTTTTTAATTAAACATGAATATACCAAAACGGTCCATTTCTAATTGGGACAAATTAACAAGTAATTAATTCTATAAATCCCCCCTTAATGTTCGTTTTTCGAGTATGCATATATGATTAAATACCAAAACGTTCGATCAAGTAATTAACGACATTTAATAATTCGAAGTCGGCCGAAATTATCATGCGAACGCGAGCAAGCCGAGGAACACAAGTCCAAGAACAGCGAATCTCGCGTACACAAAGCTCAAAAGCTTGCCGCTTCCGCTCACTATCTGCACGGGAAACAGACAAGTCCCGACCGAAGCGTTTGTCTTCACGATCGAAGCCGCCCCTCTGAAATCGCAAGCTCGAACGTCTTGGCTCTGCATCTGGAAGTACATGTTGAACGCGTACGAGATATTCCCGATGCTGTCGAGCTTGTTACACGTGGATCCGTACAAGAGAGCCGTACAATCTCCGTGGTAACAAGCGTAATCTAGGTCAGGACCAACGTTGTCTAGATTGATCGTCTCTTTGTTCACGACGCACCATTGCTTTTCCATGTATTCCACTCCCTTCGCGCCCACTGGCATGATCTTACGGCCTTGCCCCGTGAAATCTAACACAAACTTGGGTTGCCCATCATACCTGTTGATGAAAATGCATATGATATATACGTAAGGCCGAATCTAATCTAATGGATTAGTTTGCATATAATTTCGGTCCGAATTCATTGGCTTAAATTACTTAGTGAACAAGTTACCTGAATATTCCCCAATGTCTTTCAAAGGGTCCAGGAAGAATACTCTTCATGTCCTCGTCAAGTAAGCCGAAGAGATACACGTCTAATTTCCCAGGTCTTAACGGAGTTCCTTCGTCGTTAGCGAGTTTCTTCATGAGGCCCGAGTAGAATTTCTCGGCTAAGCTCGGGCTCGCATATATGTGACCATCCGTTGGCCACCCGACCTACAAAATGTCGCAAATTGATGTTCAAAATGTTAAAAACATGTCTTGCATTGTGCACGTATATATACGTATATGGGTATACGATACGTGCCTCCCCGATGATGATCTTCATGTTGGAAATTCCGGCCTTCTTCAGCGCCCAGACAAGCGTGTCGTAATTCGCATCAAACACGCTGTCATAAGTCCTGCCCTTGTCAGTGATAGCCTGACCATTGCCATTGAAGAAAGCGAACTCCACCGGAAAATGTTGGTTCTGATAGAGACTAAGGAAAGGGTAGATGTTGACGGTGAAAGGGTTTCCGTTATCCTTGAAGAAGTTGACGATATCGAGCATGAGCTCCTTCACATCGCTTCTGAAATCTCCGTCAGATGGCTTGTCGGAATCTGAATGGTAGACCTCGGCGTTCTGAGGGATCGTGGCTTGCATCTTGTCTCCATGTCCGGCTTTTCTCAAAGCCTTGTGGATGTTCTTAAACGCCGGGAACGTCGTCTTCAGGAACGACCCGTTGTATGCCGACAAGAACGGCTCGTTCCCGACCGCAACATACCTAATCATCAGAAACGCAAAAACTCATGGAATCAAATTCATTTTACGTGCATGCATGCATGTGGGTTTGATCATATATATATGTATATATGTACTTGATGTTGACGCCTCCATCGCGCATGTATTTGGTGACGTTCTCTTTAACCCAATCCTCGGCATAGCCATAATCTTTGGCAAGGTCTTCGAGCATGTTGTTAGGGATTCCGACCATAACCTCGATGCCGGTCCCAGCCAATGTCTCCATGGTCCATGGATCTGCATCGAAAAGCTTAACCTTGTTGATGTTGTTGTCTTTCAGCATCCCAACCACGAAGTTCGGATTCAATGGATGCGATGCGATGTTTCCCCAATTCACGCCGAAGCCTTGGACCAGTCCGGTTAGGGGTAAAATCGTCAATATCATTGCATTGGCCACGAGCATGGCTCCTGCTCCGGCCATCTTGGCTTTAGACGACGACCCAAAAAAAGGGAGAGATGTTTAGTTTAGGGTTCGGAGAGGTAAAAAAAAAAAAGGAAGATGTTACGGTTCTTTTTTTTTTGGTCTTTTTGGATGCTATTTTTAACTGTAATTTTTTTTATGAAGTTCCTTTTTTTTAACTTGTTAGGAATAAGAATAACCTTTAAATTGTGTTTCTATTTTTAGTACAATCAATGATAGTAATTTTAGTTGTCTATTCTTTTAATGTCTTGGTCACAATTAGTGTATCCATATACTCCGTGTTTTAGTTATATATATTTGTACGACCAAAATGTACAAAAAAGTATATAACGGATATATAAATATTGGGACCCACATGCAAAGTGACAGTCCACGTGGCAGAATAACCGTAGAGCGCCCCCCCAGCTTCTTTTCCCTCACCAATAATCCTTCTTTCCTTTACCTTTCTTCTCATCCGAAAACTTCCCCGAAGAAATTCGGAATCGGAAAAGCGCGACGGCAAACGAATCAAAACCCTGGGAAGAAAACAAGGGTTTGCTCTGATTCAACTCCAATGGCGAAGAAGAGGAAATCGGAGGCTACGCGGCTAGACGAGATCGACCGTACCATGTACTCCGCCTTTCGCGGCGCAGCCAACTCGCTCTCTCAGCTTTACACACACGCCATGTCCCATCAGCGCCTCTCGTTCCTCGCCGGTGAACGCCGCGCTCTGGTTTGGACTTTGTTCTCCACTGGTTTTTTTCATGCCTTATGGGTTTTTGTCTCGGATTCGGTTTTGAATGATGAGTTTGTCTCGTAATTTCCGATTTGGAAACGGGGCCTGAATGATTGGATGATCGGAGAATGATGGGAAACGATAAATTTTGATGCTTGTGATTTTTCTAAGTGTGTTCTGTTTTGGACATTTGCTGACTAGCTCGATTCATAGGATGGTATTCTGTTTTCGGATTCGTCTGGGGCAATCTGGGATTGGAGTTCATGAAAGATGATAGTCGTGGAATGAATCATAGAAGAAATTGATGCGCTTTATACAGAATTCATGCAAAATGGATTGTGATTTCTGTGTTGCTTCAGAAAAAATTGAAACTTTGGACACTGCAAGGGTCTTAACTACTTTCCAGTATTTCATTATCTGTGTTGAATCTGTTCGATTGACTATTACAATGTCCGAATTATCTCTCAAGCTACATGCTCTGCTCTTGTTATTCATCTTGTGGCTTCCTCCGCGGTCAGTCTCGCTGCTTAAAGTTGTGATCTTTCCTCTAGTTTAGTTACAGAATTGTCATCATTGAGCAAAAAATGAAAGAGGTTTCCTTGTATACTAGCTTTCCTGACTTCAATAGAGTTATTCTTCTCTTACTCCTTGTTTTCTGAAATGAGGACAAAGTAAGACTGTCTTGATCACAGTGCCCATGTTTCAGTTGCCCTTGCACTACCTTAGAGGAATCATGTGGCAATTTTTGATGACCTAGCTGATCCTGGTGTTGAATTCCATAGAACTACCTTTGCTTATTGCATGGTTTTTTCACGAGCTTGCTTGAAGTTGAAGTGTCAAATAGTCAAATCGCGATACGTTTGTCATATCTCAGGAGAAACTCCATCAATGGATTGTGAGACAGCAAGAAGAAGGAACAAAGGCCTCAACGGTTGATATTATAGCTTACTTGCAGGTTCTTTCCTTTGCTCTTGTCCTATTGCTATCCTTTAATCACTCTCTCATATGCTCATGTCTGAAAATTGTGTTTACAGACCAATTTTCATTGAACCTGATGCAGAATGAGCTACAATATGAGATAGAGGAGGACCCGATATCACCTACGCTTGAGTTTCATCAGTCGCAACACCAAACTGCTGCGCCACCAAATTCATTCTCCAGTGGCCTGTCAAGCCCTGTTCGAAGGACCCTTCAGCAATTTAACCTAGCCGAGGCAAGTAATCACCATCTGAATTCCTCCCCAGGTTCTGGAAATTCCTTGGAAGCACGCCCAGATGATAGCTCGTGTCAGGATCTCTCTCGGTGAATTCGTGTATCATATTGTCTGATGAATTTGGTCACACCTGCAATACAATTTACATGGTGAGTTGAGTTCATAGATGTCTAACCTCTGGTTCTTCTTGTCAAGCAACTGGAGAGAATCCTTTGATATCATATTACCATTTGATAGAATTCTGAAACCCAGGAGAAGAAGAATTCTCACCCATTTGTCATTTTTGATTTGTGGGTCAGACGACATTTAATGCAAAAAAGAAGAGGTAACTTTGATGAAACAGAGAGGGAAGAGATGGATTGAATTCAAAGGGCCAAAACCTTGCATGTGCTCTTATGGCCCCTCACTCACCAAGTTGTCTGCCCTGCAAATTTGATTTTTTTTTTGTATGATTGATGCTTTGATGTTGATTGATTCGTTCATGTAAAGTCCGAGAAGTTTCTCCACAAAAATCTTTTTTTTTTTGCTTTTAAAAAAAACATAGACGGCCCTCCGACAATTTCACGTGATGAACCACTCGGCTTTGGAACATTTACTTGCATGTCTTGGTTGCTTTGCTTTTTGTCTGAACCAAGTTCGTATCTTTCCAAGCCATTCTACGTCCGATTCTTGTCTATAGCCTGTCTTCGTTTCTGGCTGCACGACGTGATGTTCTTCCTGGCAATATATACATGTATATTCATGTGTGTATATATATGTACTGATCGGTGTGGAATATAATTATTAGATTTGCATTCACATGGAAATTTCTTCAAGTGTTCGTAATTCCGTTGACTACAAGGCAATGCATCGCGATTCCCAAAACACGTGACTATACAAATTACGTGTCCTTTTAGCCACATATGTACATATGGCTGAATGTCTACAACACATGTTCCACCATACCATGCATGTGGTCCAATGTTTTTTTCTTCTTTACAACACATACATATGCATATGTATTGTATATATGGGCACATGTCTGTTTATCTATTTGGTTTGTTATCATGGATGTATAGTAAACACACGAAACATTATGGAGGGGTTACATTTCTCGTCTCCTAAATCTTATATGGTTACTGGAAATCATATTCGATTTTCTTTCGCAAATTATCTTTATTTATGTCAAGTTTGATGTGTGCATACGGTCTCATACGTGACACTATAATCACATTCCTTGAAGGACCACTCCATTTCCATATGGCCATGCATGCATGGACCACTCTCCGATCTCCATAATTAATACATACAACAACAACAACAAATAGACCAAAGTTTAAGTTTTATTACTTCATGGTGTCGGTTCCAATCATGAACCCTTTCAAGCTCATTCCAATTCATTTTTTTGACATAGCTATAAAATTAAAAGGTGTCAATTACATTAACTAAAAAAATGCATGTAAGATAACCTTTCATGTGTATATATATATGTTCCATATCCTTCGATATATATGCTTATAGGAAAAAAAAGTACTGAAGAACATTTGTCATACCATGCAACAATTTCAGTGGAGCAAACATATTTGACTACGTGGCCAACATGTCGCGAGACATCGACGTCAAATCCATCAGAACCTAGACCCATATGTCTCTCAATAACTCCCAAAATTTATCATTCTCATATATATATATATATATATATGCACAAAAAGGGGGAATATAGTTCATTACAAAAATACCAAAGCAAAAAAGGATAGAAAGAGAGAGAAGAAAAAAGAATCTGTTCCCAAAAGATGGCAATTAGGGTTTCCTTCAAATCCATTTTTGTGGTTCTTCTTCTTCTAGTACTCCTCATATATTCTCCTGCTAAAGGTAAGCCATAAACCATATTCTTTCTTTTTTAATATGTAATAAGCCATCAACTACTAACATTCACGCATACGCATGTATATACATATTCATCATCATCATCATCACAATTGACATGTAGAATACGTGTTTCATATATATGCAAACATGTACCAGAGTCCGATAACTCACGGTTTCCTAATGTCGGGTTTTCAGCACGAAACTTGCGAGAAACGTTCAAAAACGGGAAACGAGAGGCAGCGAGGGAAAAGGGCGGAGAAAATCGATCATTCGGAGGAAGCGTGGAGAGCGATGGATTGGTGGATATGGACTACACTGCGGCTAACAAGAAAACTCCTATCCATAATCTAAGATAAAAAAAAAAATCATTTCTTTTTTTGTCAACGTTTGTTACTCGAGAGAGTCCAAAAAAGGGGAGAGCCAAATGTATTAATCCAACAAAGCTTTGTGTAAACAGTTTTTTTTGTACACTGATATAGATGGAAGAGCATGTAGCTATACATATATATATACACACACATACGATATTTTATGATGGTAGTATAGTTATATCCAATACATGGAATATCAATGGTCTTAATCATGACAATTTATGATATCGTATGTGTGTATGTATAATATATACGCACACACAGACATGCATTTGATAAGACAATACGTTTACGTGGACAAAATCGTGAACTCCTCCGAGTATAAGATCACTTGGAAATAGTACATTTTTGTGTGTGTGTATGTATGTATGTATGTATGTATGTATGTATGTATGATATACTATTGTCTCAATGGATCTACAAATATGATTCATAATTATAGTTGCCATTGATATCTCTCTCACTTATGTCACATCTCATGAATCGTGATGACTTTAGTTACGATGAGATCAACGCTAAGCTGTCATCATTACCGGCAGGAAATAACATGGTCAGGCTCAGGGGTTTTATTTTAAAAACAATTGGGCTTTTTTATGAGCCCATATTCAATGGGCCTAATTCATCATTCAAGCCCATTTAAAGGGAAAATGGATCATCGGCCGTAGAATACTAGAATCTGACATTTCTTGTTCAAGGGGTTCAACTTTGTCTTCCTCCAGTCTCTGTGTTCGGCGGCTCCGAAATCTCTCCAATCTCTCTCTCTCTCTCTCTCTCTCTCTGGATTTGCATCACTCTGTCTCTCTACTTTCAATTGGATTAACTTTCTCTGAGGTGATATTCGGTGGTTCGTCATGGTGAGTCTCTGATTTCTCAGATCTGGCGAAATTTTTTTACCATGTTCGAATTTGCATATCATTCTGTGGTACTTGTGATTTTCAGGAGGACAGAGGGAAACTGGAGGCGGCTATAGATCAGCTCCTGAACGAGGAGAAGCAGATGAGGCTCGCCGGAGATGTCCCCGGGACGAGGAAGGCTGTTACCGACATTCTTCGGCTTTGTTTCGAGTCCAAGGACTGGAAACTCCTGAATGAACAGATTGTCAATCTGTCGAAAAAGCGCGGTCAGCTTAAGCAGGTGTGTCGATTTTGTTCGCAAATAATTTGGAATTTTTCTGGTTTGTGGACTGATTTTTTCGGGAACCCCAAATGTTCGATTGGCGTAGCCTGTTCATTGATAGTCCGATGGTTTTTAGTTGTAACTTTTCCTGCTTCTGAGATTACGATTCTCCTGCTTTTCTGCTACTAATTCTCATTGTGGGTTTCGGCTACCAGTGATTTATGAATTGCATAGACCTATTGTCTGAAAATCCCTAATATTGTTACAACATATGAACTCAGAGTCTCTGTATCATGGATTTCGGAGAACTTTAAACTCATGATTTTGGCTTCTCTTGTGTGACGGGCTGCTTTTGAGATCTCCGTTGCTATGATCTCGATTGAACCTGGCAAGTGCCAAACTACAGAGTTTCCGCTGGACTACATCTACATTTTATTTCTAAATTCGGCCATTGCAGAAATTGGTGGTCTTATCTTATGTCATTCGGTGGTTGTGATTGGTATATTCTTCGCTTCCGGGTTTTTTAGTTTTGGTTTGATACATTTCTTGTTCTACTACCTTTCTTCATTAGGAACTAAATCAAGAGTCTACAGAATTGAATATAAACTTGCAAAAGTTCAGCTTTTTCCTGCGAAAATCTTTTTCTTTTTATTGAATTCTCTTGCTCAACTCGCATGCATTTTAAGTTTTTCTTCAGCTAGTAAAATGAGAAAATAATTATCCTTATGGCGAAACATTTTGTGGTACCTGGTTTCTTATATCATATCTTGTGGCGTCTTTCATGGGCTTTTCCTGTATTTGCAGGCTGTGCAATCTATGGTCCAGCAAGCAATGCAGTACATTGATCAGACACCAGACGTCGACACCCGGATAGAGCTTATTAAGACACTAAACAATGTTTCTGCTGGAAAGGTTCTCAGTCAAATAAGCTGGTTTTGTCTCTTGTTCTAATTCTGTCATCCTGCTGACATATTGCTCAACGATGTTTTGCTTGTTTAGATATATGTTGAAATCGAGAGGGCTCGTTTGATCAAGAAGCTTGCTAAGATTAAGGAAGGCCAGGGTCTTATAGCTGAAGCTGCAGATCTTATGCAAGAAGTTGCTGTAAGCTTTTCTGCCATGGTTTTCTTATATGCTGGCTACCTCTCTTCTTCCTAGCTAATCCTCTGTCTTGTAATTTATGCCAACAGGTGGAGACATTTGGTGCTATGGCAAAAACCGAGAAGATCGCATTCATTCTTGAACAAGTACGTACTATTGTTATATTGTCATTGACTGGAAAAAATGATACATATTTATATTTATTTATGGCGCCAATTATCTGAGTCATTCAATTGTTGATTTAAACTCCAAAGGTTCGTTTGTGCTTGGATCGGCAAGATTATGTCCGTGCACAAATCTTATCTAGGAAGATCAATCCAAGGGTTTTTGATGCCGATTCATCGAAAGAGAAGAAAAAACCTAAGGAAGGTGAAAGCATAGTGGAAGAGGCTCCAGCTGATATACCATCCTTATTGGAGCTAAAGCGAATTTATTATGAGCTAATGATTCGGTAATCGCCAACTGTCCTTGCCTGATATATCGTTTTGAATTTCGTTATCGTCGATTCTTTGGGAAACTTATCTGCCCCCACCCCCTTTTCTTTCTGTATCCTTTTAAACTCTATTAATCTGTGAAATCCGATGTTTGCTTTGCTTTGTTCCTTCACTTTACGTGACCCATGTCAATCCTCCTGCTTTTATTTAGCATGACTGGTTCTACTTATTTGAACTAGCTTTAGCTTGATTTTTCCTGTTTTTATGGAGACCGGTGACTTGTTTTTGGGTCCTGATAATGGAGTATGAAATAGGGGCAAATTACTTGTTCCGGTGAATGCATGCGTAAAGCTATCCATGTGAAACACTTTAAGTGTAGATACTTGCTCTCTTGTACTGTCTAATTTCTCACACAAAAATCGCTTCTATATTTACTCTAAAGTTTGATGTATTGTATGTCCTGGCTATTATATATATATATATATATATATAAACCGTTGGATCATATATGCTGATTTAATTTCTGCAGGTACTATTCTCACGACAATGAGTACCTTGAAATATGCCGTTGCTACAAGTCAATATATGATATCCCTTCTGTAAAGGAAAACCCAGAGCAGTGGATTCCAGTAAGGCTCATATCACTGTTTGGATCCTCCATAGTACATTTTATCATTGTGTTTGGATTAAATTTCGTCTAATCATCGAACATAGGTCCTGAGGAAGATCTGCTGGTACCTTGTCTTGTCACCATATGACCCGATGCAATCAAGCTTGCTTAATGCAACCCTTGAAGATAAGAATATGTCGGAAATTCCTGATTTTAGGTATTCTTTTTGTCTCTGTATGTTTGATGTTTGGTTATTTTTTTCTCGTCTCATGTACTTGCCCACCTTGTGTTCATAAACCATCACAGGGTGCTTCTGAAACAACTGGTGACAATGGAGGTGATCCAGTGGACATCACTGTGGGAAAAATATAAGGAGGAATTCGAGAAAGAGAAAAACATGATCGGGGGCTCTTTGGGTGACAAAGCTGCTGAAGATTTGAGGCTAAGAATTATTGAACACGTAATAAGAGACCTAACTGAGCTACATGTATATTTTTTTTTTGCATAATTGATACCGTTATTCACTTGTGATCCTTCATGTGTTCTGCAGAATATTCTGGTTGTCTCGAGATATTACTCAAGGATTACCTTAAAGAGACTCGCTCAGCTGTTATGTCTGAGCATCGAGGAAGCGGAGAAGCATCTGTCAGAGATGGTGGTATCGAAAGCGCTCATGGCAAAGATTGACAGACCATCGGGAATAGTATGTTTCCAGGCGGCAAAGGACAGCAACGACATCCTCAACACGTGGGCATCAAACTTAGAGAAGCTTCTGGACCTTGTTGAGAAGAGTTGCCACCAAATTCACAAGGAGACCATGGTTCATAAGGCCGCACTCCGAGCTTGAGCATAGCCGTGGTATTCGCCACTAGGCCATCATCTTCGTATTTCAATCAACAGGTTGAACCCTCGCTCCCCTCTTTTATTACATCATGGTTTGTGGCTTTTGTTTACTTGGGTCTGTCTCTCTCTCCTTACTCTGAAGCTTCTCTACTGCTTTCTGTGTTGTTGGAAGAGAAGAACTTTTAGACCAAATTCGTTGAAACTTAATAGTTGGGGTTTGTACACTGAAGGAGTTTGCCACCTTTCATTTGTTTCTGTTAGGAAATTCCTCAAATCTATTGTACTGTCTTTTTTTTTTTTTAAATCAATGTTTCTTGGTTACCCTTTTGATTAAATTTCTATTTTTAAGTATAGTGAATATGCATGTAAATGGGATGGGATGGAATGTGGGCCGAAATAGTTTGGGTACCAAGTTGCCGACGTCGAATCATTTGTCTTTGCCCTGACAGTAAACCCTCACTCTGCCAAAAAAAGAGGAACCCGTCCTCTTGTCAACTACTGTCTGAATAGAATATTATTTTGGCCTTAGAATTTAGCAAGTTGGTGTCCGAAAACTCGGTTTTGTGCCACAAATCTAATGCTATTTCGGCTATTTTTTTTAAATGTTTACAACAAATAAATTATTAGCATGGACCAACAAAAGAAAACATTTGGGATAAAGCAGCCTAAACCCGAAACCCTATGGCTTTCCCAAATCTTGCATGCCACTGAATAACACAAGAAAGTCCACAACATCGTCATCATCCCGATGAACTGTGATCATGTGTCCTGTCTGACCACTGTAGCTCCGAGAAATACGCGCTGCCCCCCCTGCCACTCTCACTGGCAGTTTCCGGTGGTTGCGCGGCCGGGAAAAACGGAAGAGAAGTTGATGAAGACGACGACAGAGAAGAGAGGATGGTCGACTGTAATGAACTAGAGGATCGCATTGACGGTACTCCAGCTTGCTCAAAAGAGGATGAGAACACCATTGGATCATACATATTCATACTTTGGTGGTGATGATGATGATGCGGCCCCTGAAACGGATGATAACCGGCGGCGTGATCCATCTCAGAACGGTTCACGTTGTAAATCCCTGAGCCGTCGCCTCTCACCATCGTCATCATCGTATGCTGTGAATGTATGATCGGGTCGGACGCAGGCTGAATGGGCAAAAGGGTACCTCCAGAACCGGAAATCATCAACTGGGTCGGCCTCTGTGGCAGTGGTTGAGGTTGCGAAACCGGTCTGACAAGCTTAACGTTCTCGGGGAAGTTGAGTTTAGCCTTGTTACCTCTGAACCGAAGAGCGGCTTCATCGTAAGCTCTAGCGGCCGCTTCCGCGGTGTCAAACGTGCCTAGCCAGACCCTAGCCGCCTTGAACGGGTCACGGATCTCGGCCGCCCATTTCCCCCACGGCCTTTGCCTCACCCCTCTGTACCTTCTCTTCGGCTGTTCCTCACTGGCTGTTGCGGCTGCGTACTCGTACGTTGGACCAGTTTCTGATACATTATTACTCGAAGCTTCTCCAACTGCAAAATCAAAATTCACAAAATAGTTTTTTTTTTTTGTTAACTCGATTCCTCCACCTTAGGAATAATATTGCATCATTTCTATATTTATGAATAAACAATGAATGTTTCGAACAGCTGTATCATGATGTTTCGATATGCTTTTAGTGTTTAAATCATTATATGACATTCCCTAAAGCCGGATTAGAAGAGGAGGCGATAGAAAACGACCCTTGAGGCATATGGAGAGGGAGCAGTGACATTAGCATATATATATATATATATATATATATATATATATATATATATATTGTACAGACAGACATATCTTTACATCTCCATTATATACGTCATCCCTTTAGATTTAACATATTATCGATTTTTTTAATATGATATTCTTGATTTTGTAATAAGAAATGTGTCCTATTCCTATATATAAATATAATTTAGATTAAATAATCCAGCAGAATTTGCCGTGTCAAGATCACGTTTTGGTTAAGATTATTTTCGCACTTTTTTATTTGTTTAAGAGACAGATGAGTTCTGTTAAAGAAAGGTGACGAAATGTTAAAAGAAGCTTAGCGAAGCTCACCTCTTACACTAGAACCGCCGCCGCCGACCGACCAGTAATCAGCCACCGTCAAAGGGGAGGCCGCCGACAACATACCGGCGGTGGCAACCGTTTCGCCGCCGTGCTCTTCCTCTCTTCTCCTCTTCTGCCCGGACGACGACGACGACGAGGTCCCTTCTCCTCCGCCACCACGACGGGACACCACCGCCTCCGCCGCCGGCGAAACATGAACTCTGGGGACATTTCCGGCGACGACGTGAGTGAGAGCCGAGACGATAGCGGACATCTCCGTCTCCCTGGTCAGGCCCGACAAGAACGACGGCGTGGCGTTGCCCATGTCCTCCGGCGGCGGAAGAAGATACATCCACCGGTCAAACTCCGACAACGCCGGTCGATCATCTCCTCTCGCATCTGGTTTCTCGGCGCCCTGATCTTCTTGATTTGCCACTTTTAGCCGACACATACACAGAATTAAGATTAAAAAAAAACCCTTCTCTCCTCTGCTTCGCAAAAGCTTGAAACTTAAACCCACAACAAAAAATGGTTTCTTCGAGGTAAAGAAACCTCTGTCAGACAGGAGAGAGAGAGAAGAGAGAGGATGTTTCGTCAGGGCGAAGGACGAGGTTTCAAGACGGTTAATATAAGAAACCAAGTAAACCTTTTTTGGATTTATTATTTTTTTCCCGAGAAAAAAAAAATGCTTTCATTTCAGCGCCGCCTCTGCAAAACAAGAGTTGTCCTGCTCGTTCGTGTGAACGATCTTTATTTTGAACTTTATAAGAATACGCTTTAATAATATTAATAAATATGCTTAATTTATAAGAATCCCACCTTTCTTAAACACCTTAAAATATAAAATAAATAAAAATGATAAATTAAGTAGCCATATAGACAACAAATTATCTATCCATTTGGGATTGCAACTTGTGGGCCGTACTATTCTATTTTTTTCCTGGTTTTAAGATAAAAAGAAAAATATCTATATAACATATAAATAATTAACCTTTTCGGGTCCGAGATATTAAAATCATGGCAGGCAAGTTGCCAAGTGAACCAAGAAAAAAGTCACTTGGCCAACTTTTACATTTCACCGTCCCGAATAATAAAATATTATTCTTTTTAAAAATAAAAAATGCACTGAATTTAAAAATAAAAAACTCAAGTTTATATAAAATCTAAGTTTGAGTGGACTAGTAGCGAGAGAACATGCTAAAAATATATTTTCATCCTGGATTCAAATTCAAGTATGGGAAGGGGTATTCATCTGAATTTTTCCGGTTTTCTGGGAAATGTAATCGGTTCAAAGATACGATGAACTTTCGGATTATAAAAAAAGTAAAATAAAAAGAGGTGGAAAAAAGAAAATAGGAAAATGGATTGGTAAAATGCAAGGCTTCAAGCGCGAGTCGGTGGTGAGGACGTGATGACGTGGATCTCTTTGGATCGATGTCGGTAATAAGGCCTTTTTGTGCGCATCTTTTATTGAGCCTATTTATTTATCCTTTTTTTGTTTTTTTATTTAATTTAATTAATTTACTGAAAGAGCTGCTCTGTAATGTTTTAATTCTATAAATTAAATTTGTGAACAAAAATATAAGCCAAAAGGTGATAATATATTTAAAATAATATAAACTTTAAAACAAGTTACAATTCCTACACACATATATATATACCTGTGTGCACACATATACATACATATATACATATAATTGTTAAAAACGGTGATGAATTTGGAAACACATTCACACTTTACCGACATTGTTTTTTTTTTTTTACATATTTAAATATAACAAGAAGCCAAAAGGTGGATAATGTAATGTTGTCTGAACTAGGAGGGTCGAATATGCCCACTATTATAGATAATATAATGCGATTTTAACTATTTTGGAACAAAGTGAGAATAAATATTAATAAAATAAATAAAGCTTCGAAAGGATTCAATGATCGATCTTAATACGGAAACCAAGGGCTATTTAATACGTGCCTAACGAAATATTCAACCACATTTCCACGAATTAATTGCACTTCTTATTATAATATTTATTTAATAATATTTGTCTTCAACTTGTATGATGTGAGATATTCTAACATAGCCAAAATTATCTGAGGAGCATGAATCATGTTTTGGATAGCCACTTGCCTCTATATCTGTTGTGTTTTTATTATTACCGATATATTTTTTCAAAAAAATATTTTCGTTATATTTATTATTTTTCTATATTTTACAATTGGCAGTACTGCAACTTGATAGTTGTGAGTAATTAAACAAGTAATTAATTAATTCGTAAATTGATATAATGTGGGACCTTAATCTTGGAGTTGGACGGGCATTTAAATAATGGTATTATTCATTCTCTTTTTTGTTAATTAAATAGAAAAAAAAGGTATTTCGGCCACATGGAAATTCTGTTCGAATTCTACTAATACGCTCCATCTTGTCGTGTTTTATATATAATGTTCGTTGTATCTAAGCATGTTGTTTGCCGCTCGTTTACAATTTTTGTTCGAAAAGATTTTGTTTTATTTTTTTTAATCAATATTCATAATAAAGTCTCTCCTCAGTATATGAATTAGATTTAATTCCATACCAGAAATAAATAAACGAAACCCACTAGTTGGAAATTCAGTAGTATTTTAAATTATTTATAGCTCATTATCAGTATTATCCAATTAATTTTGTTAATCTTTTTGCAACTAAAGATAATATTGTGATTTTTTATATCCCATTATTTTTATAAAAAAAGATGAACAACAGTAAGTATTTTCCGTCAACGATTTTTCAAAGTCAAAATTTTTGAGCACTTGTGACAGACCGTACATGCAATGTCAAAAGTCAACCTATCTTTTTTTTTTATATAAAAAAAATTCCCTTTTACTTGTGATCCAAATATGTCGAATCCGATAGAAGATCACTAGAAGGAAAACAAAAAGAATAATACAAAATTAAATTCTTCTGAGAATTCATCTATGACAAATACTCAAAATATGTTATATATATATATATATATATATATCATTTATGGAGTTCTTTAATTCTTAAATGCGCATCCTTTTTTTTATTTATGGAGTTTCGAATACAGAACGTACGTACAAAAATTTACGTGCAAATAAGGAGATGTTGCAAATCCAAAGCGGCCAAAACAGACATCCATACCCCTTTAAGTGATGTCCAAATGTATGCATTTTTAACCCAACATATCGTGGACGAGTGGTGAAACTTGGGTGATAGATAATTTTATTTTGAGGTTGAATGTTCGATTCCTGACGAATGGAGAATAAGGTAATTTCTGAGTTTATACGGTCCATATACAAAAATTGTTATCGGACCGAAAATTTATCTAGTTAGCACATTCGAAGGATACGGGATCCTCCATTAAAAAAAAATGCATTTTTCAAGTCGACCACGTGTCAGAAGATGGCTGACTTTGGAGAGAATCTAGAATTCCAACACCGACAAGTCAACGCTCACGATCTGAAGTTGGCCACATCTCAATCATTATTTATTATTAAAATAATCAGACAGGAGAGAGAGAGAGAGAGAGAGAGAAAAAACATTCCCGAGCTCATCTTTCACGTACGTATGGTCAAAGATACAGCTTTGACGAGCCGAGTCAAATAATCTAAAACCCATATGCTGAATTGGGACACATTTACTCTATCCCATCAATTGCGTATTTTTTTTTTATAATAAGGCCATAGATATATTGTTAATCATATTTTTATTTATTTCGTTGAACAATGCATGGGGGGGAATTAAACATGTAATTAATACATTTTTTGATTTTTTTTTCCGTTGGGATATAACTGTACCAAAAATACCCGAAGAATGATCATTACTCTTCAGGGTTTATATCCTTTGAGGATGAAAACTCATATATAGACATATTTATATATGATTACAAACACTTATATAATAGATATCAAAGAAAAATAACATATATGGTTGCACGAATAAAATGTTGGGACATTTCCTTCCACACTTGATTATTCATGTATTGTAAGGCGAACTTAATGGACTGCATGGCCCAATATCATAAAGCCCAAAACAATAAACACCGCTCACAAATTTCAATATTCGTGTATAAATACCCACGATTTCACTGAAGAATTACGATTCTGCCAGCTGCTTCTAGATGTCGATAGACAGGAAAGGAAAGAGAAAAAACAAGAACATTTATTATCCCACACAAAAATACACATTATTGAGTATGATTACAGAAAACTCTACTCTGCAATAAATGTTTGCCGTCACTAATACATGTTTTTATACGACAATATCAAATAACCCAAAAGTTACAAAAATAAATAAATAATAATAAACACAAAATAAACTTCATCATCTCCAACTTCCTCCTCGCACTCCATGAGCTTTTCCAACTTTGGTTCCTTCGGTTTCTTCTCTTGAATCGTCGAGACACAATTCCAACAGCAGAAACAACAAACATCGTACTCCTCGGACAAAAAAAAAACACCTAAATCTTTTTCATCTCTCTTACCTCGGACACATTGAATCAATTATCACAGTTCAAGCCACATATTTCGAGGACCGGACCGTCTTTGGAGACGAACGGATTGACTCGGACCCAGAGAAGGGTGAGGATGGACGACAGGAGGATCGACCAGACAAGGATGATGGTCGGCATTCTGTCTTGTTTCCCCAGCAACCCCTTCAGGAACGGATACAGATGGATGATCACCCATAACGCGAAGAACAGCCTCCCGAAAAGCGGACCCCACGAGTCATACCCGTTGTTGATGGCATCCGAGACTCCGACTATGACTCCGATGACGTTGATGATGAGAAGGGTCGTCGGCGGAACCAGAAGGGAAGTCCATTTGAAGATGTATAGCTCTGAGAATTCTCCATCGTCGGCCGCTTTAGAAGTGACAGTGAAATTTGTGCTGACACCTGCAAGAACCTTGAGGAGACCTTGGAAGAGCGCAAACAGATGGGATGAAGCCCCTCCGATCACCCAGAACTGCTCGTTCCTCCACCAGTCATCGATCCCGACCTTCCCCCACTGCATCTCGAGAATTCCCGTCACAGCTATCGACAAGAACAGCGCCATGAACAGGATACTGGCATAGTTACTGATCTGCAATATCACAGAAAGAAGAATCTTCTTTAGTCACATAGATCATATACGGAAGCAAAAGATTGAAACTCTGGAGAAGAATCAAAGATTCTGGACCTCGGGAACGATGAATTTGCCAGTGAGAAGACAGATAGCCGGGAGAGAACAGTAGACTAGAAGCGGGATGGAGGTCCATGGATAGACAACAGAGTTTATATACGACAATCTTTCCAGCCATTTCAATCCGCCTCCATAACCATACCAGATAGGGCAATGTCTGCTCAAGAAAATCTCGACCGACCCAAGTGCCCAACGAAGAACTTGATGGAGACGGTCAGAAAGGTTAATGGGTGCTGATCCCTTGAAAGCTGGCCTCTTTGGCATACAGTACACCGATCTCCAGCCATGGCAATGCATCTTGAAACCCGTAAGAATATCCTCAGTAACCGAACCATAGATCCACCCGATCTGAAATTTGACGAGCCCGCGAAATTAGAAACCATTTCAATGATAGAGAGAGAAGTATGAGTTCAGATATAGCTCAGCTTACCTCTTTCCCCCATTCGGTTTTATCTTCGTAGCCACAGCTAATGACTTGGATGGCTTCTCTAAGCAGAGATGCCGGGCTAGCATTCCTTGCCAACCCACCATCCTCCATTACGGTAGATTCCACGAAAACGGGAGACTGCCCGAACTTCTTCTCCAACTTCAATTGCATTGCCTCGGGCGATTTCTCTGCATTAGAACCTGAGTGAAAAGGGAAACAAAATATAAGCAAAGAACCAATGCACGAGAAAAAATGTAAAAAAAAACAAATGATTTGACGGGTCTTTTACCTTCTTCGATGTTTTCGAAGGCGTGAATCTGCTTCGATGCTTCTCTGTTCTTCTTTTTTGTATCCTTGGTCTTGGTTTTCCGATTCTTTCTCGATCCACAACACAGGCAACACCACTTTGGCCAGCAATTGCATGTCTTGCCTGGAGGCTTCTTCTTCTTCGGTGCATCATAACCGTAAAGCGCCTGCCTCCTGAAAACGCACCCTGTCCCGACATATATCGGCCCTTGTAACCCATCCAGACCCTTCATATTGATCTGTTTCGTGATTTAAACAAATTATTAAAGGATAAGTAAGAGCTGACAAGAACGAGAAATAAATGGACCCGAGAAGTAGTTAGCAGAGAATGTATGTGTACATACGTCAAAGAACACGACATTGCGATTTGAGTATCGATCATGCCGGTCTATTCCGTCAAATCTTTGAGGGAACTGAACATAACAAATCTTCTTTCCTGACTGAGGATCCATCATGAAACACATTGCTTCTCTAAGAGCTTTGCTATTGTTGATGTAGTGATCACAATCTACATTCAGCAGATACGGAGCATTTGAGAGAACTCCCGAGACCCGAATCTTCAAAACGGAAGCAGATAAATGGGTTAGAGTCGGGAAAGCTATGGCAGAGAAAACAAAATTTCAAAGAAAGGGTTAAATGTTTGGGCATTTTTTACCAGTGAATTCATGGCTCCGGCCTTCTTATGGTGGTCAAATCCCGGTCTCTTTTCACGAGAAACATAAACCAGACAGGGCAACTCGTTATTTTCTACATCACGGACACCATTTTTCCCAAGGAAGACCTTTTAAAGGAACACAAGAAAGAATCTGGTTAGTTTGGGAGAGAGAAGAGAGAGAGAGAGAGAAAGAGAGAGTGTACAGAAGCTCACCTGAATCATGCCGGGATGATCTCGGACATTGTTACCAGGCCAAGGAGTGCCATCTTGCATGGTCCAGCCTTCCTCAGGCACCTTTTGTGCAGTTGCAACTAATGCATTTATCTTAACCTTGAATTCTTCATAGTCTCTCTGCAGTCAAGAAAACAAGACAAATCTCTGTCTTTGAATAAAATATGTCTAAGACAATCTCTTTTACTTTGGACCAGACACAGTTTAAGTCCCGCAACTAAAGGAAAAGTAAGAATTTTTTTAACCTTCATGGCACGTCGTTCCCTGACAAATGCTGGGTGAACTTTGTTCTTCAAGTAATCCATTTTCTGATTAAAATACCACTCGGGGGCTCGTGGCTCAATACTGTATTTCTTACAGAAAGGAACCCATTTCCTTGCGAATTCCGCTGTTTCAGAAAGGGCTTCAAAAGTAAGCATGGCGGCACCGTCATCAGATACATAACAAGCAACCTTGTCAACTGGATAATCAACTGAAAGGATAGACAAGACAGTGTTTGCTGTAATGAGAGGCGGCTCTTTCATCGGATCCACTGTACTGACGAAAACATCCACAGCAGCTAACTCTGATGGTTTCCCTTCTTTCTCATACCTTTGAAAAAAGAAATGAAATGCATTGGCAAAGATTATTCTCTAACAAGTGGTATGTCAGAAGTGTAACTCAGTTGCTAGACACCAATACCTCAAGGACAGTCGGTCCAAGTACGTTTCTCGCTCGATAGGGCACCATTTCGGGAATTGATCAAGAACCCATGAGACGGCAAACCATATCTCGCATATCACGGATGTCAACCACAAGGGATATGCATCCTTGACTGGGTGAAGGATCCGATAGTGAAAAAAGAGACCAAGAATCACAAGACGCAGAATAATTAACATCCTGTAAGGATTGATTTTGCTCGACTTGATCGGTAACTTCCTTGACAGAGGCTGCCTGCCTTCGTCCATCCTAATTTACAGAAAGAAAAAAAACCCGAAAACAAATAAATATCACTGTGATTTGTGAAGCATGACAAGAGCAAGATTCTGGAAAATGACAAAGTTGAAAAAGTGATATTTCCTTACATGGGAAAATCAGCTTCATCATCACCACCTTCATGTTTAACCACTTGAAGTTTTTCCTTTTGCTTTCTTTTCCAATCTTCCATCCGATCCTTCCAAGCAACACTTCCATATCCATAAACCGCAATATCTTTCTGAGGTGCCATAGGTCTCGGATGGGCTAAAACAAACAACAAAAACTCTGTAATAATAACAAAAAAAAAAGAGAGAGAAAAGTAACATGAAAAAAAATATGTCAGAGACCGATAAAACTAACCAGCCACAGATGGATCAGCGAGTGGCACTGGATGAACCTTAGTGCCATGCCCCAGTGACGGAGGAACGATAAGAGCATGTCTTTCAGACGATATTTCCATGTCCTGAAAAAGACCACAAATCAAATCAATTACATAGGCACCTGAATAAAAACCATTACATAACACAATCAGTGGAACAAAGAAAATATGAGATTACCTCGCCATCATAAGTCAGCAAGGGAATATGAGAGCCAGGAGGAGCAGAATCCAAATCATATTGTGGAATCCCCGAGTGGTGACGAGAAGAAAGCATACCTTCAGAAACATGATCCGGGTAATCGAACTCATTATCCAGATCATCAATGCCATCTTCTTCCTCATCACCTTCAACCCTTGGACTTCCTGAAACATAATTTCAGCCAAAAATCATCAACCTTTCATCACTATTAGGAGATACGTAAAACCTTAGAGAAATCCCGATCAAGAGCTTAATCTCCTAACAATGCCAAAACACTAATAGTTGACAAAAAGTTCCTCACTTAAGCAAAGGCTCTGAAACACTATTAAGAGGAAAATCCATTGATTACCTTTGATACGTTTGTATCGGGTTTTGCATTGTGGGCAAGCTTGGTTTCCCTCCCTTCTCTCGTACTCATAACAGGGCCGACACACGGGGAAAGCACATTCGTTGCATGCCACAAAGGGCTCTCCATCTACCGTCAGCTCAATCTCATCTCCACAAATTTGACATATCTGCCCGCTCAGTTCTTGAACCGATCTTATCTACACAGAGGAATGCCACCAAACAGGCCAACAATGTAAACATCAGATCAAAAAGACGAATTGGCAGACAAAAGTATATGCTGCTACTTCACAATTGATCCTTTTGGTCAAAATCTTCAGACTTCTAAGAAAATTTCGTCTTATCAAATCAATGAAATCTAACTAGGAATACCAGATTATCTATTAATAACTTCAAAATGCTTTAAAATCTCCCCCGAATCCTACTCCCTGAGAAGCCCCAATCTATACTTAAAACCAAAGATAGCCTTTGATTTTCACCTTAATACCAATCAGATCTCGTTATCTACACCAATTTCTCGAGATTATGAAACAATTTCGCACTTTGAACTCATAGAACAGAGTAAAACATCAATCCCAGCAATCCGAATTAACAGTTCCCAATTGAATCCCCCTTTCCTCTCCCCTGCGATTGAGGTGTTACACAAACACTAGACGATCGAGATATCAAATAGGAGATGAGATTTGGGATTATCTCGATTTAAATTGACAAATTATACGCTTGATCGTGGTGAAATTCAGACAAGTCAACCCGCATACAGTTCCACCGACACAAACAATTCACTGTAACCCAACCTGTACTTTGCTTAAAGACTGCGAAAGCTTAGATTTGGACGAAAACCCTAATCGTTTTATACAGGTTAAAACCCAGATCCAGAAAAAAGACAAAACCTTTACAGCAAAACCGAAGAACCCAGATCAGAAACAGCGAAATGACGGAAATGGGTGCACAGAAGATGAACCGAAACACAAGAAACAAAACAGAATTTCTTACTCGGGCATTTTCATCTGCATTAATCAGGACGAACTCGTTCCTGTTGTGGGAACCGGCAACAAGCCGACCGCCGGTGTTCATATCTCCGAAAAAGACGCTAGAACCTAGGATTCACAGATCGATAGACAGATCCAGATAGAGACACAGAGAGACTGACGATTCCGCAACCGGGTCAACTCAGCCCAACTCGGTTCCGAGAGATCCAGTCGTTCCAACTCCCATCACAGAGGAACTGAACCCCACAACACGCAATAACCAGCGGCAGAGCCGAATCCAAGACAATGGATGTCGGATTTTCTCAAATGCAAAGACGCAATGAACAAAAGCACGCCAGCTTTTTCTCCCGGGCGATGGTATTGAATTGATTCAGCCGCAAGACAAATCCCCTCTCGCTATCCCCCCTCTTAACGAGCGCAGTACACATAAACAAAGGAAGAGAGTTCCAGAGAGAGAGAGAGAAGGCAATGGCAGACAGAGAGAGAGAGAGAGAGAACAAGCTGCAGATAAAATAAAGAATGAAGAGGATGTACAAGACGCGTAAGGGGGAAGGAGAGAGAAAGCGAGGAGAGAGATTAGTGAGAGATACTGAGATTTATAAGAGTAAATGTATATACTGAAAAACCCCCCAGACACAAAAGAAAACAACAGATGTAAAAACAAATGAGATCAAAAGGGAAGAAAATCGTGGGGGAAGAGTTGGCGCTCGTCATTAAGAGCTGGTAATATGGTTGAAATCAGGAAAACTCCGAATCATAATATTATTAATTTTCTCTAATCAAACCATCTTAAATTTCTACCACAACGGGTCAAAATCTTAACTTGAATTTCCATATAAATTATACAAAAAAAACCTGACGTGTTTTTGGTAAAAAGAGGAAAAAAAATCAAAAAATTTCCAGTTCTTGATTTTTCATTCCTTATAATACCACTTGTGAGTATAGTAAAAAAAAATAATACCACGTTTTTTTACCGGATTCCACAGCACTTCTCTTTGATTTTCTTGGTACGGAATGGTTTTTGTTGACTATCTCTGCATCGTTCGTTGACTTTTTTTTTTTCACTCAACGGCCGTATTTTACTGTATACTGTAAATTTAAATGATTTGTGTCCTTAGTGATATTTGAAATGGAACCAACGTGCACAAAAAATGACAAGTTTCTAAATTTTTTTAAAATCAAATTGATAATTATATTTTAAAATTTGTATTTTATTTTTTGATCTTCTATTATTTTACCATTCGTTTAATTTAATTTTGTTTGTCGAATTTTTATTCTCTCAACTGGCCATTATTGTCATTTTGTTTTCTTATACATCCATCTATTGTACACAAGAGACACAATGTGCAATTATTGATACGATCGTATCACGGCATAAATATGTGTATATGTATGTATACGTTTGCCGACACTTGATTTATACAGATACATTAAATAATAATAATAATTTTATATTTTGTTTTTTTTTTGTTTTAAATTTATTGCCCTGTGGGTAGACGAATAGACTATAAATGATAATATAAGAATTGAACAGTGTTATTAAATTTTTTGGGGCATACTTTTGATTTAAAAAAAAAAATTACGTCCAACTTTAGTAGGTTACCATGGAATGCATGTCCTTTCTCCAAGCCCTCGTGCCACATGTTCTTGTGGAGACTGTCGGTGCCACATTTCTTTTTTCTTTTTATATATATTATTTAATATACAAAATTGTGGCATAATTTAATACATTATTTTTATACCATATTTTCTTATTTAACATTCAATCAGAATACATAATCTAACATGGTTATTCCAATTTTAATCAATCATATTTATTTTGCATGTTGTTGAGAATCATGAGGTGAAGAATAAAAAATAATGTGGCCGAGACTAATTATTGATTAATCACAATATAAAATATCAAACTCTAGATTAAAATTTACAAACATTTGTATTTTGTTTGTCTTGAAAATTGATTGGACATGACATGACATGACATGACACAACAGTAAATAATAAACTAATAATATTTGGCAAGCCAACCGCAATTAGGTAAACTCGTGAAATTTTCAATAGTGTGTATACACAGTGATTTGAGTATGTAATGATATGGTAAAGTACCCAAAATGCACTAATTCCATAATTATTATAAAATTTATTTTTATCTGATTATTACATTAAGTATTGTTTCAAACAAGATAATGAATATATGGGCCAAAAAATATCGACCGATATGTGTGTGTAAAACAGCTGGCATCGCGATGGGGGACAAAAAGGAGAAAGACCGAATGCGCAAGGAAGGATCTCTAAGTTCGGGCAGCGGTCAGAGTACAGTAGGGCCGGAGTCTGCCCGTGAAAATTTGCCAGCTCAGCACCAATGCGAGTACGATTCTCTTCTCTGTACTCGCGCTTCTATTGGTTCGTTATCTCCCTAAGATTCGAACTTAGTTGAGAAAACACAGTTTCCAGGTGTCGGTTCGGGTCCCCGGATTGTCGGATCCCGACCCAGCTAGTTTTGTTCTTCTGACACGTGATTTTTGTTTTCCTTCTCGAAAACGATTAAAGGAACAAAATTTAAAAAAGCAAACATTTCAAATGAAAGGGGAGATGGAAATGGAAATACGCAGAGTTTGTAACTGTTTCGAGACGGAGAATTAATAAATATAATCGGTTCATGAATCGGCTGATCGAATGAATAATAATAATAATATTTCTAATGCGGCGATTAGGAAATTGATTCGTTGCGTATGTCTATGTCATATATTTAGGATACATTTCTTTTTGTAAAATAAACAAGTAGTGATTAAGAGAAGAGGAAATGCGAGAAGAACACATGGTAAGACCGCTCATAATGCCATGGTCCATGTTCACCATCCCATTTTCCAGCTCATGCGATTCTCCCAAAAAAAAAAAATAGATTATTCAGTCAAATCAAAACTTTCATTTTCTTTATCTTTTCAGTGGAGAAAAAGGGAAATAAAAAAAAGTTTTCTGAACATAGAAATTAATAAATTAGTTTCTCCAGAAATATAAAAGTGGCTGTAGTTTAGTGGTTAGAATTCCACGTTGTGGCCGTGGAGACTTGGGCTCGAATCCCAGCAGCCACATTTTGTATTTTTTTTTTCTTTTCTTTTCAGCATTGAAATGGGTAGCAATAGGCTAAAATAAAAAATTGAATTTGGAACTAATTACTTTTTTTTTTTTTTACTGCACTGAATGAAATGGGTCACAGCGAAACAGCTGAAACTGAGTTTGGAAACAACGAACAAGCGATTAAGGGCAAAATATTGGTCCTTGCTTCCAAACAATACTTGGAGTTTGTGCACAGATATCCGACAACATGCCGAAATGCCCAAAACACCCAACAACACATGAACGCATTGCCAAAACAATTCTTCACGTTTTCCACACACGAACTGTTCCATCAACTGAAGATGTTATCATCAACTCATCCCTCGGATGGTAGCTTACGCTGGTTACCTGTTGTCCCAAAAGCCCGTGCACACACACACAAAAAGTATTGTTGTTTCCTTTAAATTTCTCATGTAACACACAAATTATAAAGAGGAATAGAAGGACTTTTTACCACTAAACTGTGTGCCCGGAACTTCTTGACGACCTTCGCATCTACCAGATCCCAGAAGAAAACCGAACCATCCTCTGATCCTCCGACTACATGAGCGTCTGAGTTGGTCAGACAACAATCTGTTTTGTATGACTGCAGCCCCAGAATTCACAAATCACAAATTACAAACTCTGGTAAATATTAAGACCGAACTGATTGAAGGTTCCAAGACTAATTTGATGAAAGTTCCAGGAGGTTTTAGAAATTGGTTTGATCGTCTGAATTTGGGGGACTAACCTTGCAAATGTGACCTTTATAATCTTGCAGTAGCTCTCCAGTAGTTCTGTGATTCGAAACATTCAGCAGAAATATGTTTTGTTAGGATAAATATACCAAAGTTCATCAGCAATTAGGGCGGATTTAATGTGTACCGATCAAGAAGGCGTAAAGTAGAATCCAAGCAGCCCGCTAATATGCAGTTGCCATCATTCGACATCGATATACAATTCACTGGCTGGCCTAGGTTGTCGGAGAATTCTCTGTTTTTATTAAAGAAAACACGAGAAATGAATTTTCCCATCGGTCTTATACCATCATTCACTTCTAAGCACAAACTATGAGGTTCAAGTGGCAGATTTACACACCTTCCATTACGAATATCAAATGTCCGCACTGTTCCATCTACACTACCACCTATGATCTCCGTCTTTGTCAGAACAACCGACATGACAGTATCCAGGAACGTATCAATGATCTGAACATCGGTATGAAACAAATTAAAACAAATCAGTTACAGCAAAATATATCACAGACTAATTCCCTAGAATGTGAAAGGAACAAAAATCTGACCTGTACTGGCTCGGTACTATGAGATCTACAGTCCCATACACGCAATGATCGGTCAAAACCGGCTGAGACAACTACAGACGCATAATCATTGAACTTCACTGCATTTACCTGGTGAGATCGTTGTCCATTAACACAAAAGATGCAGCAAAAAGAATGTCCTATCTGTTCTCTTGGACTCTACGTCCTGGAATTTTTCTCTGGAACTGATGATGATGATGATAATGATATCTTACATTGCCTCAAAAACCATGGCAAACAGCATATCTATACGACCTTAGCACTACAAGTTATACAAACATACCTCTCCATCGTGTCCACGGAACTTGCGGATAACACGTCCAGTGGCCACGTCCCAGTAAAAGATTTGCCGGTCACCGCCACAAGAACAAAACTTGGAATTATCCCTGCAACAGGAATAACACGGAAACAACATTAACTACTGCAAGCATAGAAAATTCAACTGCTAGACACAGTGAAACACAAATCCCTAATTCCACAGTCCTTTAGCAATGATCAAACACCAACCAGACAAAGCTTGAAGCTCCACTACCATTTTAAGCTCCAAGCAACGCAACATCAAACACTACAGAAATTAATCTCTTCAAAGCTAGAATAAAAAAATCGATCGGACATCGGATAGAGTTCTACGAACACAGAACGCCGATTTAAACCGGAAAATCATCGGACAGAAGACACGATCAGAATCGAAGTGAATAGATACGTACGGAGTGACATGAACATCGCGGACCTCGCGGCCGTGGGACTTGTAGGTCTTGATGTGGATGCCGCGATGAGGGTTCCAGAGACGGATGGTGCGATCCTTGCCGCAGCTGAGGCAGTAGTTTCCGTCGGCGTTGAACCTCGCCGCTAAAACCGCCCCTTCGTGGCCCTTCAGCACCTGCGCCTCCTTCGTCGGCAGCTCCGCCGCCGCCTCGCTCATCTCCCTCCGCTTACGCAGCCATGGATGAAGGCGCTCGAGCTTCGAAAATATATTTTGGAATTGTGAACAAACGAGTTGGGCCCACTCAAAACTTTATATGGGCCGACTTGAGTAAGCCCAACTTAAATCGGCCCAAAACTAAAAGGTCGATGCTAATAACTTAAAAAATATTTTAGTCGAACAACATTTCTATATAATATAAATGAAGGGCTCACACAAACCCGACCAAACCAGTCATCTCAGAGAGCACTGTGATTCTCAGTCGCCGTCACCGTCTCCGGCGCCGGAATCTACGACGTAGGTGTCTGCTCCGGCGGCTCATATATGTATATATATGCTTTTGCGAGTGATAACGGCTGGTGGGTATATCGTTATAGATTTATTTTTTTAATATTCATTATAGTCCGGTTTTCAATGTTTCCTGCATGCATGAGCCTTTTATTATTACGTAGATATGATCGCATCCGATTTGGTTTGCAATATTCGTCACGTCATGGGATTTTTAGAATTATATTTTACTAATTATTATATATATGTATGTAAGGGGATTGAGTATGCACTTATGGCGATGATACATGCATTACACGTGGCAATACAAAATGCGTGGTATCGTCATATTGACATGCCAACTCGTGAAATAATGTTAAGATCATGCCGACGTGGTCTTAATAATATATACCAAAAATCTAAAAGAGAGATTGAGCAAATATTGACACGACGTCCGAAAACGCTTTATAATAAAAAGATCCGAATATTCAATGGTTTTGATGCCATGTGCGCTGTTTATTACAACCAACGGGCCTATCAACTCATTAGCCAAGTTGGCTAACCTTCATATATATATATATATATATATATATATTATATGGTTTTATTGGATAATATTGAAGGTAACATCTTTAGAATTTGAATCTGCAACGGCAATAACACGTGTGATTTTGTATTGCATGCAGAGTTTATCGACCCACCCACCATTAATTCAATTTTGTCTATTCACAATTTAAATATAACGTTGGTACAGCATTTTTTTTCTTATGCTAATGTTTTATACATTGAGTACGTAGTAGTTCCCAAATGAAAGCATCGGCGTTGAGCCCATCATTGGTATATTATATAAGAAGTCTAAGATAGAGATTTCAGAAACGACTCAATGTGTTTAACATTTTAATTTCAGATGTGACTATATACAATTGAGAGTCCCGTGGTTTCGGCCCATAGATTTATTATAATTATTTGGCTCATTTGTATCCATTTTTTTTAATGTGTAAACACGAGCATATTTTTTTATAGTAATTGTAATAAAATGTGGATAAGCATGAACAACCCTAATCATAACAAGACCAAAAACCAACCCTTTTATCAATAATATATTTATAAAATAGCTTTCTATTTCATCAATTCCGATGCCTAAGTTACATTTTCAAGTCCATCTTTCTCTGAAATTGAAAAGTAAACGCCATTATTGAACACTGTACCTCTCTCTCTCTCTCTCTGGCTGTTCCTCTTCCCCAATCACAACGAACCAAACCGGCTTTGCTATTTTTTTTTTCTCGGGGAAGAGCGCACATACGTAAGGCAAACTCCTTTTTGTTTCTCCGTTATGTCAGGAAAAAAAAATCAGAAAATTTTAATCGGTAAATCTGCAGTGGAAGAATGAGTGTAAAGCAAACGCCGACGAAAATATAGAGCCTCTGGTTTGGAATATACCCTTTTCCCATTTCTTTCCTCTAAATCTTCCACTTCTTTTCTCCGTTTTCATCTCTGCGACCCAAAAGGGAGGAGGGGAAAAAATTGAGCGAAGAACAAGAAACCCAAGCTCCTGATTTCGTCTTCTTGTTAGTGTAGCGTCATCAAGGTTCATAAGGATCTTCCTTTTCTCTATAATTTTCTTTTGTTGCTTTCTTCTGGATTTCCTTGGCTTTTCGACCTGGGTTTCCGATTGGTTGTCGTCTTCGATCGGAAAAATCTCATCTTTGGTAGGGTTCTTTTTGTTTGGATCTTCGCCGCTCCTCCGATGAATCCCTTCCGTCGCACGATCTCTTCTTAGATCTGGTGATGTGACTCAAGAATCGTGCTTTGTTTGAATTTGAAAGTACCCAAATCAAGAACTGAAGGCTAAAATTCCCGGCGACATGGATTTGGATGATTTCCGGTCGATTCTTGACACAGCCGGTGTCGATGTGTGGACATTCATCGACACGGCGATCCTGGTGGCTTCGCTGGATTACGGACAGGAGCTGAAACTTCGGAGAGACAACATCGTCGAGCGTCTCTTCGCGACGTCGATGGTCAACAGATGCAGGAATTGCGACTTCGGTGACGGCGCCGCGGCCGCGGAAGTTAGGGTTAACGGAAGGGTTGACGAAGAGGAAGAAGAGAAGAACCACGATAACAGCAACAACGGCGGAGAGAGAGAGAAATCTGGAAATGGAGATGATGACGAAGATTTCGATCCTTACGCGGGTCTGTTCGATGACGAGCAGAAGATGGTTCTGGAAATCAAGGAGAAGCTAGAAGATCCCGATCTGGTTCCAACTTATTCCGTTGTATTTGGATTGAGTTTCCTATTTTGTTTTCTATGTTTGGACTTCGGGTTGAGACAGAGCTTTCTCCTGTGTTTCAGTCTGAAGAATCTCTGGTCGAGTTGCTGCAAAGTCTGGCGGATATGGACATAACATTCCAAGCTCTTCAGGTACATGACTTGCCTTGCCGGAAGAAACAACACCTCGACTGTTAAATTCGGAATTCGAACCCTATAAACATCATCAATTCATGAGTTCCCAGAGTTGGGGACTCATCAAAGTTAAGATATTTCTGATGAACGTGGTCTGGATTTACATCAGGAAACTGATATCGGGAGGCAAGTGAACCGGGTTCGGAAGCATGCTTCCAACAATGTCCGGAGATTAGCAAAGCAGCTCGTCAAGTTAGGATCATTCTATAACTCATAAAAGTTTTTATCCGTACCCAACCCTTCTCCATAGTTTCTTGAATCAAAATGCCCTGTTTCTGCAGAAAATGGAAGGAAACAGTGGATGAGTGGGTGAAACTTAACCAGCCTGGTGATCTCGAGCCATCTACTTTGATAAGTAAGAACATCTCTAAACCCAGATAGAACATTCTTCCTATTTTCCCGGGAAATTCTCAGATATGATCTTTTTTACTGCAACTACTTATAGCCGACGGGGACTCACCTCAGCAGAAAGCTCCCCAGGATGGTAATCGGCAACAGGTAAAACTGAACTCTGTTTTTTTCCCTGCTCCACTTGTTTTTTTCCCTGCTCCACTTGTTCTGTGCCTTTGTGTTTCTACCTCAAGTTTCTATCGTTATATCTTGGCAGGTTCCAGATTTTGGGTACTCTCCAGTGCCTCAGACTCAGAGTGAGTATTCGAACAGGATTCAAAGTTCAAAATTTTTCAGTCTTTTTCTTTGGTATTGATGCATATTTTGCTTAAGCCATTGAGTATAATCTTTTTGTTGGCCGGTTTTAGCAGATGGGTATTCAGGTCCAAGCAAGAATATTAGCAGTACCGAGCCAGAAAGAAAACCGAGACCCACCCCTCCTCCTTCTGCTCCTCCTAGAAGAGAATCCCCGTCTCCAGCCAAGCCTTCTCGGCCTTCACCGGCTCCACATACCTCACAGGTGCACATGCCAATTCGGGTCCTAAAACTATTGCTTGCTTGTTTCACTGTCAGCTGAAGAATTGAAACGGATTCATCTCATGTCTGAATTATCAAGAATCAAACTTGTCCTCGGACTCCTTGAATTGAGTGGTTCATTTGATTATTACCATGTCTAGGCAAGAGATATACATGGCATTCTGATCTAATAAAGTGTCGGTTTGGCAATGCAGAGGGAGAAAGGGCCGTGGGAACTCAACGATTTCGACTCAGCCCGGAAAAGGCTTCAGCAGAACTACAGAGAAGCTGAGAACGGTTCGATCCAATCTGTCACTGTTTCTCTCTGGAAATCGATTCAATGGATCGGACTAGTAACCGGGTTCTTGCTATGTATTTCTCGTTCTCTACAGCGAAAAAGCAGAGAACTATACAAGTGATGGACATTCACGAGATTCCGAAACCTAAGAGAGCCTTCTTCCCTAAGAAAGGAGGCAGCTCTCATGGCAGACACTTTTAAGGATTTGATGAGAAGGAAGAAACGGTGGTCCGATGGATATAACAGAAGATTCAGAGTGAAGTGGAGGGAAAGAAAAAGGACAGGAGATCAGAACAGAACAAAGGACACTACTTTGTCCACGCCCACAAAGGACAGTGAAAAGAGAATGTGGCTTTGGGTGCCTTTGTGTTTCATTTTTTTTTCCGGGTTGAATGGGGGAGAAAAAAAAACATATTTACCCCGTTTTATGGAATTATGAATAATAGTAATCATAGATTTTGGGGGAAAAATACAGTTTTTTTCTTCGAGTTATGGCAAACTATATGAATATTTGAAATATTATGTTCATTGTTAGGGGTTTTGATAAAATGTATAATTTTGAAAAGTGCCATATTTCTTTCGAGTTTCTTCCATGTAATTGAGATAACGACAAGTGCTTTGAAGAGATAAGCATTTCTGGGTTCAAGAAATTAATTCCGAACAACTTGTGTGTCTGTAAGAAGTGGGTCCACTCTTGGGTGGTGGAGGAGACATTAGTCTTAGGGGTGTAAAAAAAAAAAATCGTTATCCGGTCCGAATCCGATCTAAAAGTCAACGGACTTAGGCATGAATAATTAGAACCCGATCATTTATCGGGTCAGACCGGGCCGGCCCGAAAAATATAGGTTCAGGTCGAGCCGTCAACCCGATAAAATTTTAATTATATAATATAAATATATATATAGATAAATATATATACATACATACATATATAAACATATTCATTCACTAAATCATATATATATAATAGAGAATTATAAAAAAAATGAAAAACTTAATAAATAACATAATGTATATAAAATTATAATATCATTAGTATTAAAAATATAACAATTTAATATTTAAATAAACTTTTTTATTATATAAAAATTTAAAATTTTGAGTTTTAATTTTCTTAAATCAAAAAAATATATATATATAATAATAAATGTTTTTATCAATATATATATATTAATTTTTTTATTTGGATGATTTTTTATTTATATTTTTATAGTTTATTTTTTGTTTGTTAATTTTTGTTTGAAAGTTTAAGTTCGAAACCCGGCCCGAACCTGAAAAAAGCCCATGGGGCTGGACTTCGGGCATAAGATTTTAAATCCACACATGTTTCGGGTCAGGCCGGCTCGCAATTCTCTGGGCTTCTGTCGGGCTCAGATCGGTCCGACCCGATCATTTTGACACCCCTAATTAATGTTTTTTTAAAGAATAATGATGAACCATATACGACATGAGCTCTATATGTGCGTGTACTTGTCTATTTTGGTCCCCATACGGTATTTGCATAAACCGGATCAGGCCTCCCGGTTTTGCCAATTGATAATTATGTCCATGAGGATTTAACCGGATTCGGTTACATGGAGAAACCAAAAACATGAAGCCGAATACTATTTACCATCTCTACTCTTATCAAAATTCTGAAAATCTCCATAAACGATATCAGAACAGCGAAAAAAATGTGACGCATTAATGGAGGTCAGGTCACGACAGATTTTTAGGGTTCATCCCTAAATTCTTGACTCACCTAACTTCTTCTTCAAGCTACCCAATATTCCATCTACCAGCTTTTCCTTGTCGATATTTCCATCTGAATCCTCCACGAAAGAATACGTCGTCGTAGGCTTCTGCTTCTTACTACCGCTGCCTCTGCCGACACGAACTAGCTTTGTCTTGTACATTGTTTCAGGCTTCTCCTTGTTCTTATCATCATCACCTTCTTTGCGGTTGTGCCATAAATCCAGGATTTGTGTCAAGGAACTATCTTTCTCTTCTCCACGCATGTCCTGCTTCTTCTTCTGCTCATCTTTCTCTTTCATGGCGGCTTCAGTCTCTGGATCAGAATCAGAATCTCCTGAAAGAGATGGCTCGTATTCAGAAAGCTTTCTGGATGTGTTAGCTCCGGAAACTGGACCGAGTTCATCAAATGACAAATCTGATTCATCATCTTTTCTACATTTCCGGTATGGTCTGCCATCAGGTGGCGTGGTCGAAGGAACAATCAATCCCGATTCGATCCTTGCTCCGGGCAGTACTTGGATCAGGGATTGCAGTTTTTCGTAACCGAGCTTCCGAACGTCTAAATGGTACCCGAATTCCTCCAAGAAGTCTTTCCTGAAGCTGCCCATCTTATAGCCTCCAGGGTTTTCCACAATTATCTTCTTCACCAGCTTCTGACAATCTGCCAATACATCGCTTCTGGATCTTTCAGGCAGTTTCCGGTCCACAGGTGTCGTAACAGAAACTCCAGCATGAGCAACATTCTTGGGCATTTGCTCACAATCTTGTTCTTGCGACAGTGATTTTGAGGAATCCAAGAATAAGAATCTCAACCCATTTGCGGCATGAGAATGGCTAAGGCTAGAGCCTTTCTTGGCGACTCTAAAAGGTAAGGAGTCTGCAGGATTCTGTTCGATCCATTTCTTCTCTGATATTAACAGATCAATGAAATTAATCATATTGGATTCGCTCAGAGGTTTGAGACATGAAGGTCCTTCCTTCTGTAGATTCCTTGCCAATGCCTCCCTGACAGGTAAAAAAAAAGAACATCAAATTAGTTGAACCTCAGGACAACATATTATGATTATTGTCAACTTCACAAGGAGACAGTACTCGAGTAAGTAATTCACACCTTGTCCTTGAGTGAGTAACAATGGTGTATCCTCTTGGAGAATTAATGAAATATTCAACATCACCCCATAAAGAATCTTTAGCAAAAATTTCGTGGGCTTGAGAACTAACATCCACTAGCTCTTGAGTTCCTCTTGCTTCATGGTTAAGCTCTGCTGTGGTTGTATTCCCTCCCCAAGACTTGAGCCACTTCCGAAATCGATTAAAAAAACCTGGACTCATGGATTTCTCATTCCCTACTGAACCACTTGCTTTCACCTCCATGGCAGATCCAACAGAGGTGGAAGGCGAAGATCGGCTCATGGGATCAACTTCCTGATTGAATGGTTTTAGGCCCTTATCCTTGATCTTTCCCATGTCAACAACCCCTTTGTCCTCCAACCCATCTCCAGAAACATGTTTAATTTCTAGGGGATGCATTGATTCTGTCTCAGATGAACCAAACCATAGTCTCTTTAGTGTCTGAGCAAGTCCACCTTTTTCGGAATCCCCGACCATAGTAGCCTTATCATCCTTTGTCATGGATCCATCCATCACCTCAACACATTGCCCGCTAACTGGAACTGGCTCTTGGGAACTCTTTTCTAACTCTTGCCCTTCTTCTTTGGCATGCTTATCTATGTCTGTAAAGTTCTGCTGCATCTTTCCTAGTGTATCATCTCGTCTAGCTTCCACAGCTAAATCAGCAACTAATGCTTCATTATTTAGTTTTAGTGATGCAGCCTTATGAGTTTCCTTCTCTGCAACATTCTGTTCATTGGCAGCAGCTAAGCCAGAGCCAGGACTAAGCTGAATAGGCGTTTTCCGCATGATCCCACTAACAAAATATTGGCCGTCACCCACTTTATAAACTTTAAAGATGTCTGGCATGGACAGTAGAAGCCGGAAAAATTTCCTATACACGTAGAAGCCTTTATCCATCGGTGCATTGCTCTTGATCAGCTCCGCACGTAGTTCAGCAATGGATGTTCCCTTAGGGTATGAACTCAGAAGAATCATACGGATCTGCTCCACAACTTTTTTTGGGACTGAACGGGCAGTAGAATCCGAACTAGAATTAGAATTAGACTCAGATAATTCTTCAGTTTCAGCACAACTTGATTTCTCAGTGATTGCAAAAGGATCCAGAAGAGGAACCTTGTAATGACCATACCAAGAATGATACGGGCCGTCAGGCGGCTGGTTGAAGTGCTTAGCGGTCACGTTCTCACCTCTAGCCAATGCATTCCAGTCCCACGCAATTGTCGCGGCACTGCAAAGGACACCAGAGGCAGATTCCTTGCTCGCGAGCAATATGTTATAGTTGTTCATTCTCAATTTGTGTAATATACTTGAAAAATCCCTGTCACTGGAGATTAGGAAGAGGTGAACTGGAGGTGGATTCTGAGAAACCCAACACAGAAGATCTATAATCAAAGATCTATCAGCACTGTTCTTCCCACCTACGATCACATTAGAACGCTTCTATCAACAAAATTTAAAGCTAGTCATGCCCTGTTCTTCACTAAACAAAATTTTCTCGTTCAATTTGTAGAAATATATATATATACTTCATTGACAAAGAATCAAGGCTTTGACCCAGTGGCAGTTACATCGTTTTCGTCGAAATTAAGGAAGCAGAATTAAAGAAGAAACCAGACCAAAGAATCAACCTTGCGGGACATGAGTGAGAGTGATTCCCGTGGCGGAGAGAGCATTCTGGTTCGTCCTGGAGAGCCCGAAGACGTCGCCAAAGGCGGTGATGGTGATGGGACCTTTGATCCCGCTGCTTCTGACCGCGGCGGTGATGGCTTGAGCCACCTTGAATACATTCGCGCCCACAGGCAAGTGACAGTTATCGAAGTCCCACCACACCGAAACCCTAACGTTCCGAGACTCCTCGTCGTGGTGAGGACGTCTCGGAGGATATAAACCGGACACAGAACCCGGGCCGTTGGAAAACGAGGACGATGTGGCGGAGAAACCAGCGACGAATACGGAGATCGCACGGCGAGGCGAGGCGGAGGTGGAAGAAGAGGAGAGGCGGAGAAGGAGAGTCTTGGAGGAGAGAGAACCGAATTGCATGGCCTGTGGACTAGGGTCTTGACGGAATTTAATGGAAATGGAGAGGTTTCATAGGACTCTTCAATGGCGGAAAATTGAAATGCTTCTGGTTCTGTCAGGGCGGTGGGAATTGAACAGGGTTTTAGGAGGGGATAGAGGAAAACCATCCTAAAATAAAACCTTCTCGGCCACGTGCGCTCCACGTGATGGGCATATATAAGAGTCATGGGTTTTTGGGCCTTGGGCCATTCTCACCAAAACAAAGCCGACAATAAAATGGATTAGAAAAGCCCATCTGTTTTTTTATTCTCCCATTTCTTCTTGTAAAAACAATATTACTTTACAACATATAAATTTCTTTTTCCAACTTCCAGTGGTATAATGAAGTAATAACATAATAATAGTTTAAAATTATAATTTTGGAATAATATAATATTTTCGAATACAAACAATTTTTATTTAATATAGTGACGTTGATTTAAAATTTTTAATTATAATTTAGAAAAATAATATAATATTTGTCAAATAATATATTAAATATTTTAATATTTCAAACAGAAAAATTCCGATTTATATGAAAATAACTTCAATTTTTTTTTAAAAAATTAAAGTGTGATGAAAACGACATTTTCACACCAATCAAATTTTGACGTTTTATATTTTCATACTTGCTTCAGATTCAATTAATTTGATTTTAGTAAAATGATAATCGATTATTCCATGAATTTGTGTGTGTGTGTGTGTGCTTTTCACGTGCTGTGTACAATTGGTATATGTTTTGAAACGCAACACTTCAAGTCACGAAGAAACCTAGCTTAGGAGGAAACCTTTTTTTTCATTTTATTTATTTATTTCATTTCCTTTTAGTAAAAGAATATAACAACGAACGAGAGTTCACACAATCAATCAATCAATCAATCAATCAATATATCCACCGTTAGCTTTTATCTTTCGTCTTTCTTCCTTTATTTGCTTTAATCCTTTGGATTAAAGGTCCAGCTTCAATGCTTTGTGGGTCGAAGGAAAAAAAAGGAAGACGAAGATGCGTATATGCTTCCAACACAGACAATATATATATATATATATATATATAATGCTTAATTAGTCCTTATCGGCTTCACTACTCCGTCCACATTTAGATATACATGCATGCTTTTCATTATTTGCATGTTATGATGTATTTTTCGGATTAAAAGAACTCGAGTATGATATTCATATTAAGGCCTAAATAAGCTAAGATTATATATATAAATGATAGCAGATGCATGCATGCATGCATGCAGAATAGATATGCGTCTACATATATATATATTATGTGTGATATGTATCATTATATCACATGTTTTGGTACACAACTGGTGATCCATATATATGCACCGTACTAAGCACACAAATATATTGATCATTTTTTATTGGTAAATATATATTATAATTTATGTTGGCACAAGGAAATATCTTTTTTTCTTAACACTTTGGAGGTCCTTGATACATAACACATTCAATGTCTTCAAGATACGACATGTGAGGGGAGAAAGAGGCCATGTTTGGGCTCAGGACATGACATTACTGTTTTATAAGATAACACTTAATTAATAACACAAAAAAACTAGTTGTGGATTGTTCAATATATCAATCTAACACATTTGTTTCATTTTTACTTTACATACAGATTCATGCGTAAATAACACACCCATTTTTAAATTTAGATTATGTTACACGTCTTTTTCAAATTAAGGTTACGTACCATAAAAATATGCTGCTATTTGACACTTAAAAAGGTGAATATTATGTGATTGGATTAGCTTGATTAGGTGTCGGACACTCCCCGGCTACAAAATTTTTTTTTAAAAAAAAGTTGTGAATTGATCACATAAATATGCATAAGTGGCTTTTATTACCGCGTTGATGTTGCTCCAAAACTACACAGTACTTAACCGGAGTATATGTCCAAGACCTAGCGAAGTAAATATGTTTAAATCCGTGATTTAAAAAAAAAATCACAACAAAAATATTACAATATTTTTTATTTGTGCATGATTTTTACGGTGGTTATTGTTTATATTGGTGTATATATTTTTTCCAACGTTTGTGCTAAAAAGTAAATTATTTAGGGATCTGTAACGTTGCATGGATATTACTAAAATGGATTTAGACTCGTTGGGTGTCCACGGTAACCTTGCCGTATGCAAAACATGCAAATTGAGTATAATTTCACAATCATTGAGAATGAATATATATATATATATAATTAAAGCGAAATATATAAGAATGGCCCATTTGAAATAAGCCGAGAAATTATTGCAGCGCGCGTAAACAAATGCATCATGCATCGCCATCAACTTTGTTTATTTTATATTTAGCCACATGTTCATGAGTCATGAAACCCTTTACCCCCCTTTTGCCCGTTATGTTTTATGTTTTTTTTTTTAGTTTTGATTCAATATATCGTGTCCGGAACTACTTATTTTTATTTTCATTTTTGTGTGGCTGGAGCTACACGGATTGTGTGTATACCATCTTTAATATACACGATACGATACCATGGCACAAAAATAATAATATATTTTTTGTAAAATAACGAACATGTGCAGTGTTTGTATAAGAACTATGGATGTTATTAGTCATGTAGAAGCCGGTCCATATGTTTATACAATATTATCGGTCAACGATGACGGTAAGCTTAGATGTGACACAAAAGAAATCAAATTAAATCTTCTCCTCAATCATTTTAGGTACTCCTGCGTATATCAACTTTTCCCCTCGATTATGAAATGTGGAAATTGCAGCGAGCTTTCCCATCGGCGTGTGGGTATAAATATATATGCCACTTCAGGTTCTTTGTTGAATCAAATCGTATCTCCTAAAAGAAAAAAAAAAGGAAAAGAAAATCGAGGAGAAACCCATTTCTCTACACGATTTATTCCAAAAAAAAAAAAACTCCATTTCGAAATAATTAATCATGGAATTTAAAAAGCCCTATTTTGTGGTGATTCTGATACAGACGATTTACGCCGTAATGTTCTTGCTCTCCAAGGCTGTCTTCGACAGAGGAATGAATACATTCGTCTTTGTCTTCTACCGGCAGGCTTTCGCCACCATCTTCTTGGCTCCTCTCGCTTTCTTCTTCGACCGGTTAGCCACACACACACACACACACACATATATATATATATATATATGTGTGTGTGTGTGTATTGTTCATGTTATATATCGGTTTAATTAGCGTTTCAACTAATTTTTCATTTTTTTTTTGGTGTATGTAGGAAAACTGCTCCACCTCTTTCATTCGTGACATTCATCAAGATCTTCCTGCTTTCCTTCTTTGGGTATATATGTTGACACCTATATCACTTTGATCATATATATATATATATATATATGAATGTTAATTTACATATATGTTAAGCATATAATCCAAGGAAGCTTGTTCAGAACTCAAAGATTGCTGTATTTAATTTGTTTTGAACACTGATTAATATATTAAAGTCGTCACTATAAGATGATTGGCTAGAATTAGAAAGTTAACGTTGGATTTTCGGAATTTCAGTGTTACTCTAAGTTTGGACCTAAACGGCGTCGCATTGGCTTACACATCCGCCACCTTAGCCTCGGCCACCACCGCCTCCCTCCCAGCCATCACATTCTTCTTGGCCCTTCTTCTTGGGTATTTCATAATATAATATATTCCTCATATCTACAAATTTATATATGAAATTGAAATATATATATATATATATATATATGTGTGTGTGTGTGTGTGTGTGTGTTACAAATATATATACATATATATAGGATGGAGAGGTTGAAGGTGAAGAGTGTGCAAGGGACGGCGAAGCTTGTAGGGATAATCGTGAGCATGGGAGGGGTAGCGACGCTTGCCCTATACACCCGTCCCCATGTGAAATTACCATTCTGCCTTCACCGACACGGCCAAGTTCAGGATCACCGCCATATCATCTCCTCCGGTGGTGCCACGTGGATCAAGGGTTGCTTCCTCATGATCACTTCTAACCTTCTCTGGGGTCTCTGGATCGTCTTGCAGGTACAAACCCTAATCCATCTGTATACATATACGTACATATATATATATATATATATTATTTTAGCTAAAAAGGTTTTCATGGATCATTTATTTTGCTGTATAATGAATGTGTATGAACAGGGCTTGGTGATAAAAGCTTACCCTTCGAAGCTTTTCTTCACGACTCTTCAATGCTTTTTAAGTTCGATCCAATCATTTGTCATCGCTATAGCTCTCGAAAGAGACGTCTCGGCATGGAAGCTTGGTTGGAACCTCAGACTCCTCGCCGTCGTTTACTGCGTAATTAAATTCCTCCATCTCCATCCATCTTTTTCGGAGTTTGGCGTTATTCAATTCAAATCATTGTTATTAAAATAAATTAAATGAATGATATGGATACGAATCTTAGGATAAAGTATAAAGTATACTCAAACTATTATCCTCCCACCAACAAAAAATAAAAAATAAAATAAAAGAAAGAAGAGGAGGACTTCATCTAATACATGCAAAACTAATTAAACCCATATATATTAAAAATCTTTTTTTTAAAAAAAAATATGATCAAATAATAACGACTCGAAAATAATTTAAATAACAGGGATTCATTGTAACGGGGGCGGCGTATTACATGCAATCGTGGGTGATAGAGAAGAAGGGGCCTGTCTTCTTGTCGATGTTCACTCCTCTCTCTCTCCTCCTCACTCTCCTCTCTTCAGCTCTTCTCTTGTGCGACGTCATTAGCCTCGGAAGGTTATTAATTATGCACTAAATCTCAGTCTTTAATCTCGATTAACTAACTGATTAATATTAAATAATCCCTATATCTTATTTATTAATTATGGCATGCGTGTGGTTGCAGTGTTGTTGGTGGGGTATTGCTGATCATAGGGCTCTACTGCGTTTTGTGGGGAAAGAG